GAGGCTTTCCATCCGTACTTCTTGTGGTTCTCAACTTCATTTGTAAGTAAAAGGGCAGCGTCAATGGCAGACTTCTTAAGTCTTCCCCCATTTGTGAGGAGTGAAGTAGGTCTGTGGTCTCTGCGAGGTGGCTGAGGCGTTGTGCGATAATTCTCTCAGCGACTTTGCCAAGGCAATTCAGGAGAGTGATGATTCGGTAGGATTTAGGGTGGGAGTAGTCTTCTTTGTTAGCTTTTGGTAGAATTGCTCCTGTTGCTTCTTTCCAGCACTTGGGATGGTACCATGTGTCGATCATCCTAGCATAGACTTGGAAGAAGGTTCCGGGGTTGGCTTCGTAGGCTTTGGTGATAATATCTTGTGTGATTCCGTCTGGCCCTGGCGATTTTGATAAGATCTTTGAAGAGCATGCGTACTCTAGTTCAGTTTGTGTAAGTTTAGGCCATTCCCACTTATTGCTTGGCGTGTAGTTGGTCCATGTTGCTTTGGTGGCTGTGGGGGGTGGAGGGAACAGAGTTTCCCTGAGCGCTTTGCATTTGCCTTCGAAGGTTGCCTGGAGGTTGTGTTCCTGGTCTTTGATGCGTGGCATTCTTTGTGTTTTGCCGTCTTTGGTGTATTTCATGGCCTTGAAAATTGCTTTCGGGTCCTCTCTTTCAAGGAATTGATTCCAGTGGGCTGTTTTGGTTCTTTTGAGTACTTCAAAGTAGATATTTCGAGCTTTTATGTACTCGGCTTTTGATGTTTGGTCCTGGAGCGAGATGTAGCGTTGCTTGTAGGTCATTTGCTTCCTTAGCTCTTTTAGCTCAGGTGTCCACCATGGTTTTGAGAAGCTTCCAATATATGTTCTTGGGATTGCTTTGTCTGCGGCTAGTGTGATTGCTTCTGTGAGGGCGTTTGCAATCATGTCAAGGCTAGCTTCCAAAGGTGTGTTCTGTTCTTTAATGATTTTTAGCGAGTTGTTTGACGAGGCTGGATTTTCAGTGGTTGTGAGAGTTTTTAGGCATAGAGAGTTGTTGATGCTTGTGTTAATGGTTTCCCTGAAGAGCTTCCAGTCTGCTCTTTTTGTGTTGTATCTGGACTGGTGAAGTGGATTATTAACCCAGTCTCTATTCTTTCCGTAGAGGTGGAGCTGTAGCCCCCAGTGGTCTGAAGCAATAGCATTGTTGATTCTGAAGCTCTGGACGTGATCGCTTACTTCTTGCGATACTAATGCTAGGTCAAGTACAGAGGGAGTAGTAGAGTTTGGTCTGATAAAGGTTATTGCTCCTGGCTTGTTAAGGAGGCTAAGGCTGTTGTCTTCTATCCAGTCTACAAGCTCTTCAGCTTCCTGGTTGGGGGTATCGATGGCAGGGTTCCACCAAGGGTGATGTGAGTTGAAGTCGCCCATGACTATTGTATTATTTCTAATACAATAGTTTTGTAGATGTCTTTGAAAAGTTCTTTTAGCGTGCTCTCCCTGGTCTTTCTGGTTATAGATGTTGATTACTTGTAGTGTTTCTTCTCCTTCAGTAATATCAATGAGCTGGATATCAGTGTCGATAGGTGACTCTCTTGAAAGGCTAACTGAGGGTTTGAAGGTTTTTGCGATATAGGCGATTGTTCGTGGCCTTTTACTAGGTAAGTAGTTTGGAAGAATTTGCGTAAAACTACCATGAGCTGTTGATGTGGCGGCTACATAGCCTTGTCTATTCCGTGCATTGTAAAACCATGGTTCTTGGAAGAGTACAAGGTCTACTTCTTCCTGGATGGCTATTTCAAGTGCATTTTCCATGGCTTCTGATGTAGTGTTGGCGTTAAAAGAGATGATTTTGATTGGGCTCTCTATCATTAGGATTCTGTGATATCGCTAGTAGTAGTGTGTACGCAGGCTTCGCCTTGTGCTTGGCATTCGTGGCATCTGTGTTGTACGCTTAGGTGTTGTTTAGAGCAGAATTTGCACTTTGGGGGGTTTTTGCAGTACTTGAGGGGGTGGCCATTTTCTTGGCATCTGGTACATTTGATTTTCCTTGACGTGTTCTGAAGGTGTTCTACTCTGGCGCTGATCCCTGCAAGGTTGGGTCTGTTTCTCTGAGCTCGATTTGCTTGGCTTTCTTCCTTGAAAGCTACAATGATTGATCCTTGGTGTTGTAGGCCGCTGTCCCTTTTGTCTTTAGAAGTGAGCCAGTGAGGGGTTTCTTCGATTTGTAGGTTAAGGCCCTTGTTAAAAGTGAGAATCTCATCTTTGGATATGATGGCCTTCATTTCCGATTGCGCCTCGAGGGGGAAAGAGGACAAGAGGTTGTTGTTGAGGTCTAAGTCGTTCATATAATAATGTGGATGTACTATGCGGTCGAGCATGATTTGGGTTATAAGGGGGACCAGAATTCGAAAGAGCTTGACCGAGCCTTGGAGATATTGAAAGGGGCGACGAATCTCACCACAGAAGCGTTTGAGCAATTCGAGGAGGTACTTGGAAAACAGAAATTGCTAGAAGGCCAAACTCGGGTCGCAAGTTCTTTTGTTCAGAGTACGAACCTGAGCTCGGAGGAGAGAGTTGCAAGCCAGATTCAGAACTTGTTGGACCCTGAGAACCAGGAATTACTGAGTAAACTGCTTCAGGCTCATGCTACTAATGCTGTTCGAGGTAGGTCTAATCATTCGTTGCTTCTGGGGGAATCAATGTTGTTTTGCGATGGAAAGAATGTGTGCTCTCAAACAACTTGTTAATCGTCGTAACTTTGTCTACGATATACACTTGCCATGCGGGTTTCGGATAATTGAAGTAATTGTTCGAGAATATTTAGATTAATTACTTGAATTTGTTCTAGAGAAGAGAGGAGGGAGTGATTTGATCCTGTTTTTTCTGTCGTAGCGAAATTGTTTATTGACGTATGTGCACTAATTTTTTGAAAAAGTCAGTCAGATCGCTTCTATTGTACCCATACTGCATGACTCCCTCAAAAGTAAGTGTACAACCCTCTATACCTTCACAAAAGAAACTTTGAGTCAATCTAATAAAATCACACAGAGAATGAAAGACAGGCTTTGTTCAGTTGGCTATCCAAAATGCAACCTAAGCAAAACCATAAAACGATTGGAAAAGACTTCATGACTGGCTCAGGGAAATGGTTGCTCGAGAAGCCTAGCTTCAATGAGTGGCGGGAGGGGAAGAAGTCTTCTATACTGTGGCTACATGGTATCCGTAAGTACATAAACTTTGCCCATAAAGGATGTCGTGTTGACGTCAAATAGCCGGGTCAGGAAAAACCAAACTGGTGTAAGAACTCGAACCTCGCTTAATTCAAAATACTGAAATTATCAGATACTCGGTAATTGAACGCTTCAGCAATGGGAACGAGAATGATCTCGCAGCTGGTACCCTTGCCTTTTTCTACTGCACACGAAATGCTTCTGAGCCTGAACGTGCTGATCCTGATGAGATCATGAGAAGCATACTGAAACAGCTGTGTTGTACAAAAGTCGTTACGCCTGTTAGAGAACCGCTGGTAAGCAAGTACAAGGAGCTCAAAGAGGAAAGCGATGATGATGGTGTCGAAGAACCGCCTAAACCTACCTGCGACGAGTGTGTTGATCTCATCATCTCTCTGCTAGAGTCAATCCCAGCGACAATTATTCTCGATGCCTTGGACGAATGCGATCCTGATCGAAGACACGAATTACTTCTGGCTTGCGATAAAATCATTCAAAGGTCAGTCAATGTCGTGAGAATATTTGTGTCCAGCCGTGACGATGGAGATATCGTTTGTCGTCTGGAGAAATCGCCGAATGTATATATCAAAACCGAAGACAATCACAAAGACATCAAGCGCTTTGTTTTGTCCGAGGTGGGACAATCTATTGCGGAGAAGAGATTGCAAGCGGGGATTATCACAGAGGGGCTGAGGAAACGAATTGTAGACACCCTCGTCGAAAAGTCACAAGGGATGTAGGTATTGCTAAACTACTTTGGTGGGAGAGTTACTCATTCGTATACTAGGTTCCGCTGGGTCAGTCTGCAGATTCAGAATTTGTGCGATTCTCAACGAATCAAGCACGAAATTGATGTTGTGGAAGAACTCGGGAAGCTGCCCCGGACTTTGAAAGAATCATACGAGATCACCTATCAAAGGATCCAAGAAGCTCCAACGACGAGTTGTCGAGTTGCGAAACTCGCGATGACATGGCAACTATGCGCACATACTCCTCTGAATACACAGGAGTTCATTACAGCCGTGTCTGTTGACACCAACGCCACTGATCCTACAGGGTTGTATATTACTCTTAGCCCATCACAATTGTTCAATATGTGCCGCAACTTGATTGTTTTAGACGAAGAGACGGACATGTTCCGTTTCGCGCATTTATCTGTTCAGGAGTACCTCCAAGAAAGGAAGGATTTCGGTGAGAGTGCGACGAACGCCATTGCCCTGGAAATATGTATCCTGGTCAACCACATCGAACTCCAAGAGTACCCGCGGTCCACCACGTCTTTATCTAACATGCAATTCAAGAACTACGCAATCATAACCTGGCCTATACATTGCCAAGCTGTTGATGAAGAAATAGGACCAAGAGCCAGAGATCTGGTGATGGTGTTTCTCTCCTTAAGATACGCAGCGTGGAGATCGGCTTTGAGAATGTTACGTTCCACCCCCGGAGGGAAACTTGTATTCCCGGACATGAATCTTATTACATCGACCCCTCTGTATATGGTATTCCGGTTTGTGCTACATTGGATTCTACAGGAGTTGAAGATTTTTGAGCCTTGGTGGAACATAGAAAGCAAAAGATCCGAAGGGTCACCTTTGCATATTGCAGCTCATTATGGGCAAATCAAGATAATACAATTAGTTCTTCAACAAAAAGATTTGGAAAAAAGGAATCTTGGGAAATCACTTTGGTGGGCCTTGTCAGCCGGGAACTCTGATATTGCAAAGCTACTTTTACACGAGGATATCGATGTAAACTTCAAGGAGATGATTACCGTACGCCCCTGTCGATTGCAATTCAGAGCTGGGACTCGGAGATAATTGTTTTGCTGCTGCAAAAGCAAAATATAGATGCAAGTCTCAAGGAATTTGGAGCTGAAATTTCCCTGGTCATCGCCTGTGAGAAGGAAGAGTCGAAGATCGTAGCATTACTAGTCCAATTCGAAGGCATCGATGTAAATGCAAGAGCTGGTCGAGGCGGAACACCCCTTTTGATTGCCTGTCAATCCGAGAACCTGGAAATTATTACATCACTACTCCAAGTCAAGAGCATTGATATAAATGCCAGGGATAAACGGGGACGTACATCCCTATTTATTGCCTGTGAAAAGGGAACTGTGAAAGCAGTCTCTTTACTACTCCAATTCAACGTTATCGATATAAACGCTGAAGATGGACGAGGCCGAACACCTCTCTCACTCGCCTGCGAAAACGAGAATTTGGAAATAATCACACTGCTTCTACAAGCTAAGAGTATTGATGTCAATGCTGGCAGACCGCTCTCGATTGCGTGTGACCACGGTAACCAAGAAATCATTAAGTTATTGCTCAGACAAAAGAACATCGACATAAATAGTTCCGACTCTGCCGGACCTGTCGGCACCGGCACACCTCTAGAAATTGCCTGCAAGTATGGGAACATGGAACTCGTTACTCTGCTGCTCGAAAGTAAGGACATCGATGTGAACGCTGGCATACCCCTCTATGCGGCCAGCCAAAATGGCAATCTGGAAATCGTGACGTTATTACTCCAAGCCAAGGATGTCAATATCAATGGGAAAGGCCTTGCTAAAATACCTCTGGCAAGTGCGTGTGAACAAAACAACTTGGAGATAGTCAAATTACTACTCGAAAACAAGGATATTGACATAAATGCGCGAGACCACAAAGACCGCACGCCTCTAATTATTGCTTGTGAAGTCGGCAACCTTGAGATCGTAACAATGCTACTTCAGAACACAGAGGTTGATGTGAACGCTGTCCCCCAAGTCTGGGCCCGTCAACAATTCGATGCGGTTTGGGTGAGTCCAACCAGTACGGCTCTAGTGACTGCATGCGGATCTGGGAACATGGAGATTATTCAATTATTACTCCGACATAAGGACATCAAGGTCAACACTGGTGACCTCACAGGCGATACGGTCTTACTCAAAGCAGCTCGGATGGGCAACTTGGAAATCGCTACTGCGAGAACTATGCTGAGGAAAATGCGATACACCTAGCCCCGCCAAAGTCAGAAGTCTACAACACAATACTTAGCCGTGGAGGCACTGTTAAAAAGCCTTCATCGCTATTCGTTCCACGGCCGTACAAGGAATCCAAGGACTTCAAGGAAGTTAAAGGCTTTAGAGACGTCTTTGTGTCCAAAGACCTTAAGAAACATAGAAGAGCTCCTAGTACGGTATCCTGAACGTACACTTAGGTTGGAATCGATTACATCGTAAATCGCAAAGGCTATATATATTTACTACTACTACTGTGCCAGAGTGCCTACGCCCCCACATCCCGACTCTTGGCTTTACTTGCCTAGGTATTTTCACGTGTATACCTACCCCCATTGTCGCCCACCCCCATTGTCGCCCGCCCTCACTGTCACCGTATCATCACTGTCGTATTAGGGTTGTGTCCTACTATGTTTTGTTCAGAAGAGAAAGAGAGAGAGGGTGGCGGAGGGAGGAACAGTAGCGGGGAAATATTTTAGTCGTGCGTGTCGTGTAAGGGTGCGATAGCGACAAGGTCAACTGTATGCGTAAGAACCAAATTGTCTACAAAGAGTGGAAGTGATCGTAAGATCTGAGGCTATTTACAGTTCCAAGGGCACGGGCCACATCGCTTCCTCCACGTCTGTACCCTCACATGTCGCTTATTCCCAGCCCCGAACATTACCTTCCTAAAACGGCTTAGCTAGTACGTATCACGCCAACAATTGTTTACTACCTACCTTTCCTTGCTCTCCCTCCTACTTTCTCTTCTCTTTCTTTATAATAATAATAGCGAGAACGATAGTAATAGTAATAGCGAGAGGGTATATAGGGGTATATATTAGCCGAGGGGGAGGGAAGGGGGTTATAAGAAAATTAGGGGTATGTAGTTAGCACGTATAAGACACATAGGTGAGGGGGGAAGTATAGGGGAGTACTAAAGTAGGGGTATAAAAAGGGGCGTAAGAGAGAGTATACCCCCTAACTCATCGTAGTCTAGAGGACTTATCATTATACTATATAAAGTATTTCAGAGATTCAGACTAACCCGACTCTATTATCTGGCTCTGCCTATTATAAAGTGACTTTTGCACTTTTAATATCGTCCAACCTTCTTACTGTCTTCCTCACAAAACAAAAACCCCAACTACCATAAAACTACCCTAATCAAAACCCCCCTCCCCCTCTTCCCCTTCTCTATCCCAACGCCATTATCAAAACATCACACCCAAAACAAGCAGCCAGCAACACAAATACCCACCTAAGTTTCTAACCTCAACAGCCACAAAACCATTCAAAAACACACCTCATCTCCCCCTCTCCACTCTCCACCTTCCCACTTCCTACCTTTTCACTCCTCAACCCTCAATCTAGCCTCTCGATCCTTAAAAACCATTCATCCCCTCGTCTCATACAGTACCACAAGAACAACACCCATCTCCTTCCTTCCTACCACAAGCCCATGGTATCCATAGACAAGGATTCATTTTCCCCCTTACTATTTTACTTCTCAAGTTCTTTGAACGAAGATAGGTAAGTGAGTAATCTACATCTTTAGGGTAGTTGTTTCAATAGCCGCAGAGTTACATAAAACAAGGATTGAAATAAATCAAAGATTTTCCCAGTAAGTAAGGCTACCATTGCTACCATAACACTCACTCATCTTATTTACCGATTTAGCGCGAGCCGCTATAAAAGATGGCAGAACCGATAATACGTAGCTCAATGCAATCACGACTCCAGGTGTTTCCCCACTCCCCCTTTCCCCCCAAAAATTTAGCCGAGTGTGCGACTTGGCAGGTGTACCTATCTGTCTACCATGTAAAAATCCCCAGGCTTAACATCACTTCACAGGAACAAGACTCGTTTTCATTAACTTTCAAAATCCTTCAGCCTCTATTTTACAGCCTCACACTATCTACCATCATCCCTAGTAGCACCAACTACCCCTGTCCGCCACATTCAATACAGTTGTTCCCTTCCATAAGGAACCATGCTTAAGACAAAAGAGAAAATAGAAGGAGTAGCAAAGCATAGTAATTTTCCCTCCTTATACGAAGCTCTTGGTGAAGCTAACGACAACCTCCTTTAGTCTAGCTTCCAAATCCTTGCTCAAAGCACCCTCTTTGTCAATAGTAGCCAAAAGATCAGACTCGTTGGTCTTCATGTGTGCGATGAAGTCAGCCTCCCACTGGAGAATCTTGGCAACAGGGACGGAATCCAAGTGACCGTTAACACCAGCGTAGATGAGAGGAACCATTTCGTTGACAGCCATAGGTGAGTATTGCTTTTGCTTGAGGAGCTCGGTCAACTGTTGAATGAAATTAGCCATGATTCAATTACCCCCAGAAATTGAAATTTCGTATACTTACACGTTCACCACGGTTAAGAGTTTGTTTTGTTGCAGCGTCCAAATCGGAACCGAATTGAGCGAAAGCAGCGACCTCACGGTATTGAGCCAAGAAAAGCTTCAATGAACCAGCGACTTGCTTCATTGCCTTAAGTTGGGCAGCGGAACCGACACGGGACACAGAAAGACCGACGTTAATAGCTGGTCGGACACCCTTGTAGAAAAGCTCGGCCTCCAAGAAAATTTGTCCATCGGTAATGGAAATAACGTTGGTTGGAATGTATGCAGACACATCACCACCCTGGGTCTCGATGATAGGAAGGGCAGTCAAAGAACCACCTCCGTGCTTCTCGGACATCTTGGCAGCACGCTCCAAAAGACGGGAGTGGAGGTAGAAAACGTCACCGGGGTAGGCCTCACGTCCGGGCGGACGACGGAGAAGGAGAGACATTTGTCTGTATGCGACGGCTTGCTTGGAAAGATCGTCGAAGATGATGACAGCGTGCTTTCCGTTGTCACGGAACCACTATTTTCAGTTAGTATCGCCGCTTCTCGTTTAGAAGATACCTTGTCTTGCAAGGATAATTAGATCAGAAAATACTAACCTCACCCATGGAGCAACCAGTGAAAGGAGCGATATATTGGAGAGGAGCGGCTTCGGAAGCAGTGGCAGCAACGATGATGGAGTACTTCATGGCGTCGTTCTCCTCAAGGGTCTTGACCAACTGGGCAACGGTAGATCGCTTTTGTCCAACGGCAACGTAAACGCAGTAAAGTTTCTTCTCCTCATCCTTTCCGTCGTTCCATCGCTTTTGGTTCAACATGGCGTCAAGAGCAACGGCAGTCTTTCCGGTTTGACGATCACCAATGATCAACTCACGCTGACCACGTCCGATTGGAACCATGGCATCGACTGACTTGAGACCAGTCTGGACGGCTTGGTGGACAGATCGTCGAGGCAAAATACCTGGGGCCTTCAATTGTGCACGGCGCTTCTCGGTGGTCTTGATTGGTCCCTTTCCATCAATTGGGTTTCCGAGAGCATCAACGACACGACCAAGCATCTCAATTCCGACTGGAACATCGACCTATAAGTAAAGCTCATCAGTGGCTGTAAATTCAATTGTCGTCCACTTTTGCTCACAATTTCTCCGGTACGCTTAACGGTCTCGCCCTCCTTGACCAAACGATCGGACCCGAAAAGCACAACACCGACTTGACCAGCCTCCAAGTTCATGCACATACCCTTAACACCGGATGCGAACCTGTGTATATTTAGCTAATGAATATTTTCAAGAGCTCCAGTTGTGTGACTTACTCGACAAGCTCCTCAGCTTGAACGTTGCTCATACCGTGGACACGAGCGATACCATCTCTATAAACCCAATCAGCCCTCAAATTTCCTTGAACAAACCTCCCATGTAGTCCATATTGGCGATTGAGGCATTTGTGTGTTGATCAACGTACCCAACGGACAAGACACGTCCAGTCTCGGCGAGGCCGGCCTCATCCTTAACACCTCTAATTCTTTGCTCGAGGATTGACGAAACTTCGGTTGGGGTGGCTTTGTCGGCGGAAGCGTAGCTTCGGACCTGTTTTGATGCTGCGTTGAGGGCTGCTGGTGCGGCAGTTCGTCCCTGCACAAAATTGAGGTTAGCCGATGGCCCAAAAAAAACACGTCTTGAGCTGTCGGAGCTTCATCATCAGCTCCCCACCATCGACCTTTATCATCGCGGCAAGCCAATTGATCTCGGGAAGTAGACTACGATGATTTTCGATGGGATTCGAGCTAGATGGAGCTGGCCGGGATGGCATTGTGGCTACGTACTGCTGCGACTCTGCCAGATGCAGAGATTGCGCCCACCGTCCGGCTGGACTGTCGGAGAGCGTTTCTGAACATGATGACCAGAGTCTATGTATGGAAGAGGCAAGAAAGGATCAATTGCCGACGCAATTGAAAGGAGAGGAGATTGAGATGTGAGGGTTGTTCTGGTCTGTCGAGAACCTTTGGGAGAAAAGACGGGAGAAGGGAGTTCTCGGGCTCAAAGCGACCGGGACCTTAGCGTTGAGGTCACGTGGTAAGATCGCTTTTTCCACACCTTCCTGAAACTGTCTTCACTATTACACCTATTCCCCATCTCTCTTTTCAAGCTTAGGTCTCTATCTCTCCTTCACTTCTACTTGAATTTGGTAATCTTGTTCCGTGTAACGTTATGAACGTCGTATAATCTCAATTTCACTCACCTACAATCACAAATCTCATCTCGTCGACTGAACCCTTGTAAAAAAAACTCAAGTCCGAAAGCCTCCGAAATGCTTCAAAAATGCTCAATTGTACTGTATAAAACCCAGCATTTCAAAAGCTTTCATATTTTCCCCGCTACATCTGACGTAGCTCAGGCCGTTTATCCCTACAAATTAGTTTGTTTACATATTATCGACATATTTTGCCAGCACCAAACGATACATAAAACAATGTCTAGATTTCTACTTGGCATAGACGGCTAGTGCTAGTGCTAATGCTGCTGTGTCAAGTCAGTTCATCCTTTTGGTGGGTTCTTTATACCAAGACTTGCAGATGAGCTCAGGCAGAAACGAATGCAGCATGCTTAGTGACACCTACTCGAAATCGACATCGTTGTTACTCAGCATATTGGCTCTTGCAGAAGCATCAATCGAGACCAGTGTTTTGTGCCTTGCGTATTGAGTCATGGTAAACTACTCTTTCATTGTATTTGGATCTTGAAATAATCATTTTGTTTATTCGAAACTGTGAAAACAACGAGGGCTTATTTTGTAATGTAGCTACAGAAAACTGCGTAATACTCTGTATACACTATCCACAGTTGTTATTATAAGTTTAGCACAGGTAGATATAATAATATGATTATGATCTAGGTGTGTACAGAGTAATGGCCATCTCTTATATAATAGATAAAATATTCACTTCTGCTTCTCTTGTTTACCAATACATGATCATTCAATTCAACTACCTCAACCCTATAAATTTCCCAAGCATTCTACTACCTTCAAGTCATCAGCACAGCATAAACATAGCCTAAAAAACAAGACACGATCCAGTTCAACCGTTTGCTCAATAATCGCAGAACCATGCAAGCAACTTACCCAACATATCTTCCACCTCCTCTGTACAACCAACACTTCGCTTCCAAGTCAATTGTTTAAGACATACTTCTCAGCTTCTGCATCCCCTCTTCACCGACTCCAAGATGCAGCTTTTAGGAACCCATTGCAGAAATTAAGTTTTTAGAAAAGGAAAGTCCTTTTTGATGCGTCCTCACCGAGTCTTTCATGTAACCATGAATCGATAGCCTGATTTTGACGAACTGCAAGACTCGCTATGAGGATTCTATAAATTGATGGTTCTGTCTCAGAAACTAAAATCAGTTTTTTTTCTTCTGAACCAAAAGAGCATCCTACAGCCATACGCTAGTTCAGACATCATCACCCTCTTTCCATCACCAAAATGCGCACCCAAACCCAAAACCTCATCCAAATCACAATCCTCCTCCGACTCCTCGCCAAAATCCCAACTACAAACGCCATCGAAGCAGTTGAACCGGTAGAAGCAGCATGCTGCTGGCCATACGTATGTCCCTCTCACCCACCTTATCAACCCACCACCTCCCCTCTCCCACTAACCCATGAGTAGAACAGGATCTGCAAAGACGGTACCCCGCCTACTCCATGGTGCGGATATGGAGGTATGACACTACCCCCTTGACCGAAATCTTTTCTCTGACGAGTTTCAGCTTGCAATATGTTTGGATGCGCGTGTAAGGGTGGTTGTCGTGTTGGCAACAACTAGATCTTGATTTGAAAGGTCTTGGTTTGATGAGGAATATGTTGATTGGGGGTTTTGGAGGTGCTGAGGTAGCTGTTATGTCTTAGACTTGAATATATGAGGTTGGCGTGTAAGCGAGATCAATGGCATCTAAACAGCCTCACTGCAAAACAGAGGAAGTGCAATTTCACCCCTGCCCTCTTTCCTTCAATCTCAATCACTTACATCCCTTGCCTAAGCCTACAGGTAAGAAACCAACAGAACCTGATAACCTTTCTCCGGGGAATATATCTCCACATAACCATCCCAAAATACCCCCTCCTTTCACTTCTCAACATCTAAACCCACGCTCGACCCACTAAGCAAAACAACCTATCCCATTCAATTCTCACAGACGATACCTTCCTATTCTTAAAATTTTCTCTAGAGACTAGTTCTCACCCACCAACCTCGCGTACCCATAATTGCCCTTCAATTTACCAATAACAACCAAGCCTTTAACTCATAGCAGAATTAGACATCTTTACTTTACCAAAACGCCCAGCATGTCCCAAAGGCGCTAATCTCCCTCATTCCCGGAGATGAAAAAAATAAACTTCTAACTGCACACAAATAACCCCTCCTTTCCCCCCTTCTCTTACAGCAAATCATCCAACCGCTCTCCCCCAGTCTGCATACCCTCACAATTCACAACACCTCTCCCAACACGACGGGAAGAAAAACGGAAAAGAAAAAAGCACCCAGGTCCCATTGTAGATGAAACCCCGTTATCATCACAATCTTCCTCCATGCCCCCCTTCCACCCCCCCTATTACCCCCCATCCTAACCCCCAACTCAAAAAACCATAAACGAACCAACAATTCACCTCCCTCCAACAAACAAAACCCCCATTTCTCCACTGTCGCCTAACGGAGGTACACTCTCACTCTTCCTCTCACCCTTCCTCCCCCCAACACTCCCACCACTCCTACCTCTTACTCTTCCTACTCTCTACTTACTCCTCCTCTCACCACCCTCCATACACCAAACAACCCTCTTAAACTCATCGTTAAACCCATCAAGACACCATTGCATAATATTTACCCGTACCGTGCAACAAATCACCAATCATCGATCGCTAATCAATGTACTTGCATGTATGTACATACAGTACCTAGGTATATAGACGCTAGAGATTAGGCTAGGTCAGGTTAAGTTCTTCTTAAACATAGTACTTGATAGACGAGAATAAGAACAAGTCCATCTTATATTGCATCACCTAGATATAAGAACATCTACAACTACATCTCCCCCATCCCCCCTTCTAACCCCATCTCCCTCATCTCACCCATTCCCCTTCTGGCACCCTTTCTAACCTCGTCTCACACTCATTTTCACACCCACCCTCACACTCACACACTCACACACTCACACACCAACACTAGCCCACACATCCATATGCCTCTCTATCCCATCCATCACACATACAGCACCAAATTTCAATTCACAAGTCCGTCTAGACCAAAGTCCAAATCCAAATCCAGAAGAACACTTCAAAATAAGATAACAAAGCTCCTTGAATTCCTCAACCCCTCCAGTCACTATACTACCAGCCTACGACATCTAACCCCTCTCACGCTCCCATACTCAATAAACTAACCACCTTTCTATAATACAGTACAAACACACCCCCAGCCTTCCAACCTACCCACACACCCACACACCCACCCCGACCCTTTCTCATGCCCCCTTCCCCCCAAAAAGCCACGCAAAAAAACCAATCAAAAAAGCAGTAAAAGAAAAAAACTCAATAACATCAGAAAAATTAAAGTAGAAAAAGAGCGAAAGACTGTATAACTAATCTACTCTTTCCACACGTGCACCCATCATACCTATCCAATGCTACCTATCCTAACCAATCCTACCAACCCAACCAACCACCCACACACCCCCAAAAAGTCCATACATAATACAGCTAATCTAAAGCCTCCCAACCTCCCAAGCAACCTCCCAAGCAACCAACCAACCGAGCAACCAAAAAGAAAAAAAATACAACAAAAGAAAAGGAACCAACAATAAAAAAAGAGATGAAACTTTTTCAAACATCCCCTCCCAAAAAAAGGCAGGTAGGTTCATATTCTACTAGACACCCACCTCCTCATCACTCTCCTCCCCCAAAAGCTCATCCGCATCATCATCCACAACCGCATAATTGCCCCTCCCTCTCGCGAAGCTATCCCTCGTCGTGAACCTCGCCGCCCCCCGACTACCACCACCCATCGCCGTGCTCACCGAGCGCCAAAGACTGCTGATGAGTAAGGGTAACGCCGCGCCGACCGCGACCACACCAGCAACAGCCAGGACCGGGTATTTGACCCATGGAGCCTCACTATCGAATGAGGCTAGAATACCGTTAGTAAAGGTTCGTGTAATGCGAGGGGATAAAAAGAGTGAGAAAACTTACATTGTTCCCCAAGTCTAATCTGGCCAAACTTGGAAGCCCAATTGCGCCACACCCACCAACCTGCACCAGCAGCCGCAGCAATCGGAATGATGACAGCAAAGAAGATACCAATAGCCGAGGCGCTATGCTTCTTTTCAAACTCCTTCTCCTTTCCAGGACAAGGTTTGGCTTCGCTCCTGTCGAATTCTCGTCCGTTCTGGCAGGTGCTCATTGGCAATTTTCGGTAACCCGTAGGAGAGAAATATTCAACTCTTTCAGCCTCAACCTTGCAGATCAAGGAATGATCTGGAGGTGAGAAACCAGGTACGAGGGCACAGGAACCATCGGTTTGACGCTCATAATTGAAGTCGCTGTTTTCAAGTTAGCTCAAAACCTTTTACGCGTAGATATAAAACTCACCATTCATAGTCCTGTCTGGTACACTCGCAGTTCTCCTTGATGTCATGTAGACCTGGAATAACCCGCGGGTTGTAGCATTTGCTACTCGTCTTCTTGCGGATAATTTGGGAAACATGTCCGAAAAGACAATTGTTATTTTGTTTCGGGTGCTTTGGTGTCCATAGATAATAATCGGGGGACTTTTCGGGGTCCTTCTCATTCAGCTCGCACTTTGTGTTTGTGAGACCTGTAAAATCGATGTTGATCGTATGGATCTCGCCCTTCTTTTTGATCCACAATAGGAAATTACGAGAGTTGTCACTGGGCGTAGTGGTGAGATCTTCAACGGTGACCTCTTCATCTGAGAATTGAAAGTCTTCCCAAGTTGCACCTTCATCCGTGGAGTAGCTGACTGTCTTCGTTGGAGCTCCTTCTTTCACGAGAATGATGATTGCACCCTGGTCACCATATTCCCACATGTACTTACCCTTCTTCACAGCAAACCAGCTGATGCCACCATCGGAGGTCATGAAGGTATCGGCTTCCTTGCCAAGATATTCGCCAACACTTCCAGTCACCACCATCAGACCAACGGCAGTCGTGGAAGAATAAGTGTGAGATTTGTGGTTTCTTTCAGTATAGCCGTGAACATTGAGAGAGCATTTATCAATACCACCTTTACAATCAAATTTCTTTCCATCGGCATCTTTCTCTGGTGGTGTGATTAGATCCCATTGGGCACCATCATTGTGCGTAATCATTGTCTTGAGTCTCTTCCCCTGTTTCTTAAAATCCTTGTCATTGTTGTTTGAGACAACGTTGGCCAGACTTAAGCCTTCGAGACCAAATGTTTTCTCAAAATCAACATACCCCGGTGCGTCTCGATCTACCGCCGCCAAGCTGAGGCCATAGGAGGTACCGTTGGAATTACTTTTGATGATGCTACCATACTCAAGATCCTTCTCCTGGTTGACAGTAACATGCAAGAAGATCGAGTGCGTCGAGCTATCAAGGACAGTGTATCCACTTTGGGGGAAATTGAATTCGTGAGGAAATTGGGCGCCTGCGAAGGTTCTTCCATCCACACTGGCGTTGACATGGAGAGTAGAGTGAGCCTCGTCTCTGGTAGCAACAACGATATACTCGGACATGGTTGCAAAGTCCACGAGATTTTCAAAGTGAACCATGGGCTCATTAGTGAAAAAATCCTCGCTCGAGACCAGTTGCCAGGGGTTGTCCTTGGAATCTTTTCTCTCATGTTTTCGAACCTCGCAATAGATAAGGTTGTCGAGGTCATCATCGTCCTGACCAAGCTTCTCAGCAGGTGTAGTGTAAAGTCGTCTTTCTTCCTTGATAAATTCACACTTTCTAACGTATCGTCGTAGCGTTTTCCACGTATCTCCCCGGTCCTTGCTCAAAGATGCAACACTGTGACACTTTTCGCCAGGGCAGTCTCGTCCACCAACCCAAAGAATCCAATCCTTGTGTTTCCAGTGGAAGTTCATGACTATCAATTGATCAAGATTGGGAGGATCCTCGGCCTTAAATTCTCTGATGTTCTCTCCTCGCTCTATCGAATAGAACACTTTTTCGGTCGCCGTCAGAAAGAAAACCACATCCTTATAGAATCTGTGAGGATAGACTGCCACGATGTTTTCATCCTTTAAAATCTGAGTCCATTTTTTGCCATGATCTGAAGACAAAAAGACCCCCTCATCTGTATGTGCGACAACAGTCTCATCTGCGTCCAGACTGATATCGGTACGCTCAAGATAGACCTCCGGAAACAACGACGAACCAGGAAGTGTAGCCTGTGTCGCAACAATCTTGCCCGAGGATGGCGTGTGGGGATTGATTGTGTCTTTACATTCTCTCTCAACTGGATCATCTTTCTGGGGTCCATCGGCTCTTTTGCAAGTATTGCCCGGGATTAATCGCCAGCTGGAAGATCCTTTGAATGTCTTGTCCTTTTCTGGGTTTTTGCATGCCCCTTCCGGGAGAACGAGAGCAGTTCCTTCTACTCTAAGGCACTCCGAGTGGTCTTCGTTCCTTACAAAGTTGTAGTCGCACTCAAAGTCGTCGCTTGTACAGGGACAATCTTCCGTAATAACTTCTGGATCTTTGAATTCACTCTTCATGAAGCAATCAGCATCCTTCTTGCGTCGTTTGAAAGCTTGCGTATGTCCCATAAGACATTTTGGCTTGCCGTCTTTGTCGACTCGAGCGTGCCATAACTCTAATTGATCTTCCTTACACTGACCCTCGTGCATGTCATCAAAGTCCAAGGAAATGATAAAGCCCTTTTCCCTTGGCTTGTCTGGATCAACGGCTTCCAACAAAAACTTGAGACTGGTCGAATCCTGTGTAGTGGTCAATTGAACAGGTCTGACCTTCTCTGGGAGATCAATCTTCTTCCATTCTTTGCCATGGTTCAAGGAATATTTTATCTCGCCGGTTGGACCTGAGTCTGGAATCGCCAGCAAAATGGAACCTTGGTCACCAAACTCGTACTTGTGGGGTCCGTCGAGTCCCTTTATCCATGTCAATCCAGCATCATCTGAGACATAGAGATTACCGTCTTTATATGGTTTCAGGTGATCTCCTGTATTTCCGATTCCCATAACAATTCCTGGCGCTGGGCTGGAGAATATACGTCCAGAATTTGACATTTCCGTGACGGAATGGAGGTGTAGCGGCTCCTTTTCGCAAGTAATACCATGGAAATGCCAGCCATCATCAAAAGTGATTTGAGTCATAACCTTTTTGTCTTCGTGGCCCTTTTCGACCTCTTCCCAGTTGGACACAGTGTTGACCAATGAAATACCTTGTATGCCAGTGACCTTTTCAAAATCCACCATGCCATGCATATTTCTGTTCGTATGTTCGATGTTTCGGAAGAAATAAGTACCGTTCGAGTTACTGGTCAAGAAAACCCCCATAGACTGTCCACGGTTGTTGCTGGTCAAAACATCAATCTGAATACTGTATTTTGTGGACTCAAGCATCGTGTACGCCTTTTCTGCAAGTCGGTGATCTTTTGGAAATACGGCTCGGTGCCATTTTTTGGTATCGTCGGTAATGTATAGAGCCATTTCGTCGGTGCCCTCAGCAGATGTCGCAACAACCAGATAATTTGTGACCACAGCCATATTGACAACGCCCTTGACCAATTTTCCAGGCTCCAGCTCCGGCTCGAATTCCTGAATCGCACTGCCAGATTTGGCGAAATAGTCATCCGAGATAACCGTTCGGTAGTCCTTGCTCCATGGAGAGAATTTCCCTCTGACAATACACATAATTCTGCGCAAATCTGTATCTTTATCGCCCGTTGTGAATTCCTTGGACGATTTTGCCCAGTGGCAACCGATGGTATCGAGCCGCATACGGGTGGTTTTCTCGAATCCGTTCGTGGTATAGTAAGTCTGTGATACAGGTGTCAGTTATACGTCCGCAACTTCTGCCAGTTTTGGTAACCTACCAATTCCTCGCAGAATATGCCAGCACAATCCATTGCATTATAAATAATTCTATCCGGGTCGCCAGCGTGGAAAGCCAAAGCCTGGTTCTGAAATATACTCGCCAGCGAATCTACCGAGAACTTCTGCCACGACTTGCCCCGGTCCTTGGTCTGCCAGTGACTCGTCCCTTCTGTGATAATATATGCTCTCTTGGAGTCAAATGGGTGCATTATCAACTCCATCAGCGCTCCATCCGGCACCTCTTCCACCTCCTTCCATGTTGCACCAGCATCTTCGGATCGGTAGGCGTTCAGGGTAGAGGCATCGATAAAGAGGACAACATCGGAATCCTCAAAGTAATTTACATTGTATGGTATAAAATCGAACTTGGATTGCTTGATCGCGGGGCCATCTTTTTTTGCCCACGCAGCTCCCAGGAGCGTACTGGACAAGAGCAGGTTCCGCCACTGCAACCTCATAATGGCGAGGTGTTCAGAAGGTAGCGCATCAAAGTTGGAGAGGGTTCGGTGATGGTGCAGGTGTTGGGTTGGTACTCAATAGAGGTACAATCGGGGTGAGGTTGCGATGGCAAATGTTATTCTGGGATGAAGGGAGAATGGAATAGGTACGCCGTGTGTGTAATCCTCGAATGGTATTATTTGGCTTCTTTGTCGGACTCAGCTACGAAACACACTTCAGGAAGGCGAGACGGAGAGCTTGCCTTAGCACGCGAGGGTACAGGGATTCATCTGATGGAACTTGCGTAACCTGCGTTTCGCCCCGCCGGTGCCTCGAGCCTCCATTAGAGTATATAGCTGTGCTCGACCCGTAGCTGCAATGAACAAAAAGCAATTTAGTACAACCACAACACAAGTACACTCAATAGAAAGATAGGTAACTTCGTAGATATCTCTAAGTCTTTCGGTCCTACCTAAACAATCTTCCAAACCTAAATGAACATCGCTATAAGGATATCCTTGTTTACATCCTAAGAAGACCTTGGCCTGACCATATCCTTGTATAGACGTTATAAACACTGTATGGGAAAAGGTATAGGTGTACTATAGTACCTATACCTATATTACTATTACTATTATAACTCAACAATAAAACTTTGGCTCCAACAGTCACCCTCTATAAGCTTCACTAGAGGACGTCTTTCTAAATCATACAAGGTTAGAGGGTTAGAGACGTTATCTGTTATCTATAAAGTACCTAGAGCACAACCACAAAGGAAAATCCAACCTTCTAAGCTCTACAGCTCTACTCATGGGGGCCAGCCTCAAAGCCCCCATGGTCTATGACTAGGTGTATAGAGTAGAGTGTAAGATCCTACCTATACTCAGTAGAAAATACACCTGCAGTCTCTACAGTAGCATCAAAGAGCCAGCAGCGATTCATTCTTATAGGTATCTAGCTCCGTACTAGCACATCCACACACTCCCTAGAACCCATAGAACAGCAATACGAGTACTTACACATCAACTACCTCCCAAAATACCTCACAATCCACAAGTCAACAGACACCCACCTTTCTTTCCCACAGCACCATTCAGAGAAGGGGATTGTACTTTTACCTCTACTTGTACTAATCATCCATTTTAACCCCTAACTTACCCCCCATCTCACCCTTCACTCTTACTCATACCTTACCCGCCCCTCCTCCCCCTTCTAACAATCCCCACTACTGTACCGCCCAAAAAAAGAAAAACAAAACACCCCATCTACAGCCCCACAATCTCTCAATAGAGAGCGCTGCATATTCCCACCCTCAAAAACTTACTCTACTAGCACTTACCAACATACCACCCATCTATCCCTCTACCTCATCCATCTCCCTCAAGCACCCCCCCTCACCCCCACCATAAAAACCACATCAAGCGAGACCCCAACTACAACATCATGAAAACCACCAATCCCCACCTGGATCTACAATAGCAGGTAAGATTCGGGCTAGTAGTGGTAACACTAGTTTTTTTACTAGGGTGTAAGACTTATAGAGGTGAGTACTAGGGGATCTACGTACCCGATCCGCCCAGGACTATAGTCTTTTTGTTGTATTACAGACGTATATTTAGACTACGTCTATAGTTTTTAACGGCTAGAAGTATAATTATTATATATTCAAGGTAAAAACACGTAAAAAATGTCGTACGTAAAAAAGGTCGCACGTAAGATTATATAGTTTTAAGAGTTATATATATAGAAGTCTATTATTTAAAATAATTTTACTAGGCTCTATTATACTTTTCTTTATTATTGTTTCTTTATTTTACTTTTCTTTTAGAATAATCCTTTTTAATTACCTACTTAATTATATTCTTAATTATATTTTTTACCTCTAACTTTTTTTTATCTTATCGTCCTTTTTTATTTACTCTTACTCTTACTATTATAATAAATTTATTATAACTTTAATTAAACTTATACTAAACTATACTATAATTTAAATAACTTATCCTTTACTCTTTAAAATTCTTAATTTAAAAGTATTCTACTATTATTATATAATATAGGTAGCTCTACTATATATATATTATAGTTTTAATATATAAGCGAGGTTTATTAATTATTTTTTAGTTTTTTATAATACCTTATAATAAATATATAATAGTTTTTTACTAGTCGTATTCTATTAATTTAAATAGATCTAAAATTAATCTAACTAAACTATTTAAAATTCTTATATATAAGAAATTATATAGTTAGGTAGTTCTAGGAAGTTAATTATATTATAAAGTTTTTAGGTATATTTTATTTATATATCCTAAGTATTTTTATAGTGTGTCTATTCTAATTTTTATTTTAGTTACTATTTTAAAAATATATCTTCTCTTAGGGTAAGTTATATATAAATAAGGTTTATTATCTTATAACTATTCCTACTTCTTGCGGTAGTCTAGGTACTAGTAAACTATCTATATAAGTTAAATATATACTAGCTATATACCGATAATATAATAGTATAGAAACTAATATATAATTTAGGTAAGATAAGATAACTTTTAGTATTATTTATAAACGTCCTAGAAATAATAAAGAATCTTAAATAATATCTTCTCTAATTTGTCACGGATGCCAACAAAGGATAAAGTGTATATAGCTTTTGAATCAATTGCTAGAACTAAAACCGTAGGTACGAAGAAATCAAACTAAAGAGAGAAGAGAATCTGAAAGGAGCGAAGTTATTTAAGTTGATCCAATGCCAAGTCTCCTCACGTGCTTGGCCAAGCGAATGAAATCCTGTCAAATGAAATCCAGCTCCGTCACATAATTAAGATACTAAAATTAGAGCTTATAGCGTTGATATCTTTTCTCCTACCTTTTCTAATAAATTAATCCTTACAATAAAGTCTTTAAATACTTAAATAAAAAGGTATAACTTTTAAGTAATTTTTTATTAGTAATTTTAAGATCTAAAACCGCTTAATTAAGATTATTCTAAATAGTATCTTTATCTAAAAGAACGTCTACTATAAGCTCTTTATTAGGGAAGTTGATATCTAATATATTTATATATAGTATTATATTATAAATATAGTAGCGAGTACTTGAGTAATAATAAATAATAGAACCTTAAAATAAACCTAGAAAATAATATAATTAATTAATTAATTAAAAAAAGGAAAAAGATAAAGGAATTATAAGAATACTACTAAAGATTAATTAAAGGATAATATATTAAAGGGATAATTATTAAATATTATCCCTAAAACTAGATACTATACTATAAGTAGCTAAGCGTAAGTATAAGCCTCTTAAATTCCGAGATAAATCTATCTAATAAGAATAAAACTCTAAGTATAATTATTATTATATTATAATAGCTTTTACTTTATTTTTAAGTACTCTTACTATTCCTATAATTACCTAATATACTAAAGTAACCTATAAAAAAGCGAGTAAAGAAGGAGCGAGAGAGTACTCGACTTGCTTAAGAACTTATATATTCTATACCGCCTACTAATAACGCTACTTTTAGTATTTATTCTTTAGATTACAACGATTCTAATTCTAATACTCGATATCCTCGAGAGCGCTTTACTTTATTAGAAGCGGCTAATAAGTTTATAGCTTATAGATTTAAGTTACTAGTATAATTTTATACTAATCTTACTAGAGTAAAGAGTTAATAATTAAATAGAACTAGGTAAGGTAAAAGTTAAGGACAAGGAGTAGTGTAACGAATACTCAAACTGGCTAACTAAACTTGGCTGGGTGTTCGCTGGTTGGTATGCTATGATAAGAAGAAGACTATCGGGTTGTTCACTTGGAAGTGAACTCGTTACTTGTATCAAAGATGTCAAACTGATATGATAAAGAAATCCCTGGATCGCTTAGCTAGCCCAAGCGTCCCTATTTGCTATAAGAGTACTGATAGTGCTTGACCTTTCAGGACGCTGCCTGGTCTTCTCTTATCACGTGAACACGTGATTCGTGACAGTACTATCTCGAACCGTTAGTAAAAACACCTCTACTATATATATAAATGTATAATCGAAAGTACTTAATTAGTATAATTCGAGCTAATTAATATACTAGACCTTCCTTATCTATAGAAGACGAACTTACCTTATGGCTATAATATTAATAATCTAATTACCTTCTTCGAGCTCTTCTTTCCTAATTACGTACTCTAATAGCTTATAAATAATACTAATAAATATATAACTTAGATAGTAGTAGTAGTTAGGTATATTATTTAATAATTACTTTAATCTTTTTTTTTAAATAATAAGTTAATCTTTTATATACCTTCTAAAAGTACTAAAAGAGCTTTTTATTCTCTATTTAATATATTAGATCAATAATGTTAAAAGATTTATAAGTTATATTATTATAAAGGTCTACCTACTATTTGTCACGAATCACGTGTACACGTGACTAGTGAAGACCAGGCGGCGTCCTGACAGGTCAAGCACCATCCATAGACTTATAGCAAATGGGGATCGTTTAGGTTAGCTAAGCGATCCAAGGATTTCCTTGGACTAGGGATCACGTGACGAGCGACATGGTCGACTCGTCGACCATGGCGACCACAGAGAACGAAGGTTCTATATAAGACTGGCACTTCTGCCTTTAGATAGGAGCTTCGTGCTCAACTTAGTTATCAATCTTATCATATTAGTTTGACATCTTTGATACAAGTAACGAGTTCNAAGACTGGCACTTCTGCCTTTAGATAGGAGCTTCGTGCTCAACTTAGTTATCAATCTTATCATATTAGTTTGACATCTTTGATACAAGTAACGAGTTCACTTCCAAGTGAACAACCCGATAGTCTTCTTCTTATCATAGCATACCAACCAGCGAACACCCAGCCAAGTTTAGTTAGCCAGTTTGAGTATTCGTTACACTATTCTTCTACCTCTAAGTAAGAAAAGTAACTAAGATCTCTCTTTTAAATACCTCTCTTATATATTTCTTTTACTAACTTATCTAAAAACAAGGATAACTTTATAACCTTTTTTTCTTCTCTTTTATCTTTATTTAATTCTTCTTTATTTCTAAGGTTAAAGCCTAAGTTATTATTAATTAGTTTAAGTAGTTTATTCTACTTCTAATATATATTATATATAGTATTATATAATCCCTTATAAAATCTAGCCTTATAAATTTACTAACTAAGAGAATAGATTTTAAGTTAAACTCTAGTTATATTTTAAATCTTTATAGCTTCTATACTAAGTTAATTATTATTTAAGGTATTATATATATCTAACTCTATAGCCTATATATAATCCTATATATTACTTTATAAAGTAGGATTCTTATCTATATTTATATAATATAGTTTATTTAATTTAAATCTAGGTAGTTTAATACTAGTAATAAGTTCTACCTGTAGTATATAGAGAAAACTCTTTAATTACTATATATATATATATTCCTTAAGTATATGTTTTACTAATAGCTTTCCTTCTATACTATAATCTTTATAATAGTATATATAAAAACTATTTTAGTTAGTATTACTCTCCTATCTATATCTTTATTAAGTATAATAGTTAACTATCATTTAATTACGCTCCTACCCTGAGTTTATAATATAATAATAAAGGATTTTCTTATTTAAATATAATATTATAATTCTATATAATCTTAGAGGATAATAGTAGGTATAAAGAAATAATAATACTTTTAATAGTTAAGATTTACACTTAAAAGAGATCTTATATATCTAAGGATTATTATATTTATATACTACTTTAAAGAAAACTTTATAAAGCTTGTTTTAATATTTAATTACTAAGATCTTATAAGTTATATAATTGTTAATACTAAATTTTTTAAGAGAACTATAAGAATATAATTTAAGATAACTTATATTTAATAGTAAAGTTTACTAGGAATATTATATATAAACTTATAGTTTATTTAAATTAATAGATAAAGTATTAGTTACTAGATATATATATAGTAATATAAGTCTAGTTATTTTAGTAAACCTTAGTCTTTTTTTAAAATATTAAATAAAGTAGGAAAATATTCTACTAATAATTACAATTCTTAGACTATAAAAATATTTATACTTAGACTTATTCCTTCAGCCTTCTATACAGGAATTATATTAATTAGATACTAAGATACTAGATATTAAGTAGATATAGTTAGATAAAGATTATTCTACTAAAGAATAATAATAATAATAAAAGAAAGCTTATACTTATAGTTAATATATAAATATTATATAGCTAGCTCTATATATTATACTATAGGCTTAGGTTCTACTAGTAAGTACTAATAGCCCTACTTATATAGATATATTAAGTATAATCTTACCTAGGAATATAATATAACTATATAACTATTATTAGATTCTAAGAAAAAGGAAGCTAAGTAGTATAGTAAGAGAAATACTTATATTTTATATTTAGAAGAATAATTAAAGTAATACTCCCTTTATGGGAATATATAGCCGAATATTAAACTATAGGATACTCTTAAAGAGCCTCTAAGGTTTATAGTTAAAAAGAAATTAGAGGTAAAAAAATTATTCTTATAAAGTTATAAAGTCTATATTTTATAAATAGTTTTCTTATTAATTATATATATATAACTTATATAAGTTAGTCCCTTTATTAAATATAAAATATAAGTATAGAGAATTCTAATTAGATTAAAAGAATAATTTTTAAAAAATATATATTTTATAGAACTATATTATAAGATTAAAAGAGTTATAAAAATAGTAGAGATATAATTAGGATAATAGTTAGGTTATATAGAAGTATTATAAAGAACTTTCTTTTAGTTATATAGTTAAGTATACTATTTAATACTACTTAGATAAAAGTAATATAGAAATAGTAGTATTTATTAAGAGGGTTTATACTTAGTACTATCCAGATTTTAGCTTATATTACTATAAAGGGCTATTAAGTATAATAATAGGAATTAATATAGATATTATCTTTAGTATTATTAGTATTATTAGTAAGATTTAAATTAACCTAGAACCTTAAGGTCCTAGGAAATAGTATTTTATAGTTAAAGGTTAGAATATAAAGGGGAAGAAGTTATTTTCTTTTAAAAAATAGTAGTTAGTTTAGATATAAAGACTATTATACTTTATTTATTTATAGAGTCTTTATATAAATTATAGATTTTTTAGTATTTAGGTTCTTTATTACACTTACTTTATTTATACTTTTATAAGTATAGTAATTAGAGTAGAGAGATAGAAGGGGACTTTATATTTATAGAAGTAAGAAATAGAAGTAGATTAATTGCTAATCCTTTATGACTAATCTTCGCTTAGTAGGAGATTATAAAGTATAAAATCCGAAAAGTAGAGACGTCTACTTTATAGTACCTAGATCTCTACTTTTAATTACCTAATTAGGCCTGTGTACGAAATTTTCGTACGTGTACGAGAACCTCTGCTACCGAGTTCCCAGAGGGATCAACTGAAGTAGTATTCAAGTCTGTTTCATCACAATCTGAAACCCCAATTTCCATCCTCGATCCCCTTCCTGCTTTTCATTCTGACGATGGTCTTCTTGAGGGGTGGAGTAACGACCGAAGACATGACATTATGATCAGGGCTGGGATTATTCCATATCCCGCCAACTGGCTTCATATCATACCTGAGAGCACACATTGAAACAATAAATAGAATCTCAGTACTTGCGAAGAATCTCCCTCCACACAAATTTGCGCCGCCACCAAATCCTCGGAATGCGACGCCCTGATGACTCCCCCCTGATTTGGTGAATCGTAGCGGGTCGAATTCCCGTACATTTGGGCCCCAAGCTTTCTCATTAAAGTGCATTGGTTGATTTGGAAGCATAACAAAGCAATCCTTCTTGAGAAGAAAAGGATTGGCACCGCCAATGACCACGTCTTCTACGACCATTCTCGTACCCATTTCCAACGCTTGATGTCGTAGTGATTCCTTCAGAACCGATTCAAGAATGGTGGAGCTTCGGATACCTTTTACATCAAGCATTCGCTGAATCTTGCCGTTGAATTCTTCCGTATGTAGGTGCTTCATAGCTTCGGATCGAACTAGCGACAGGACATCCGGTTTCGATAGGACATGGTAGAGAGTCCAGAATCCAGAAGGTACCGTGTTTGAAAACACAGTGATACCTTGAGCGACATCAAGACGTGCGATATCATTGAGCGACATTGTACCTTTTGTGTCGTTATACCTGCCTTGGGTCATCGTAGATGATGTCTCTTCCTTTCCGTGGCGGTAGAAGTTTTCGAAAGCCTGTGTAACACGCCGGTGGACTAGATGTGATTTTCTAGCGAACACCATCGGGAGAATCCCGATCAGTAGTGAGCTGACATTATCTGAGATATGCCTTTGTGGATAAGTCAGCTAAACCCTGAAAAGGGGGTTGGAGAGCGACTGACCACATGTCTTTCTCCAACTGTGGATCTTTGAATGGATTTCCAGGACCATAAATAGCGTCAGTTGCTGCAAGAATCATCATATGTTTGATCCAAGCCCACAGGTCAATGTCTTCCGAGATGGGCCCTTCGTCAAATTCTGACATCGTATCAGACACACTTTCTAGCATCGTCTTGTTCATTTCGTCCAGCGCAACACCCGGTTTGAGAATGTTAATCATAAGTTTGAGACCATCGAAAAATATGCCATGTTCGCCACCTTCTCCTTGTACGTTGTTAAAAACCAGGGCTGCACCTTCTTTACTTAGCCCTGCCACACTAACGCCAAAGATTGCTTCAATCCAGGGGAAGGAAAGCGTTTTAGAATGTCGTTGTACTTCGCGAGCTACATCTGGAGAGGATACAACGTAAACCTTTCCCGCCGGCATAGCAAGCGTAAAAGCTGGATAGTTGTACTTTGCACTATGTAGAACCTCGAAGTCAGTTCAAATTTGATCAACCTAAGACCGGCTGAGGAGTATCTGTGAGAGCACCCACTTTACTTTGTTATAATATGGTATCTTGTTGAGAAACAGTCCGATGGCATGGCCAAAATAAGGAATTGAAGAGGTGATGTAAGGGGGTTCATTAGGGAATCTCTCGACATCGAGAAATCTCGATGACAAAAAGAAAAGAACAAGGAGAATTGCTGCTACGGATGGATAATATGTGGTGAAGTCCTTGTGCTCCATCTTGCGGCAAGTGGTGAGGGTTATTTGGAGATGCTTGATTAAACAGCTTAGCTTAAGCAGACTCTGGATGTGCAAGGCACAAGAGACTATCTTTGCTCCTGGTGTCTACGAGGACATGGCCCCCAACGGACAAAGAAGGTTGGCACCAGAATTTAATTGAGTAACCACCCAACCAACGTTAGACCAACAGCCAAGTAACATTCGACCAACTATTCATAAGATTTGATGTGAATTCTTCCGCTTTTGCCGGATCATTCACCGCTGGCACCAACATTACAAATCTTGATTCTTGTGGAAGCCAAGATAGTCCTACCTTCTAGCGAGCACTCATCTTCATCATTTTGCTCTTTGGTTTCATCAAATTGATAATCCACGGAGTCATAACTCTATGGAGGCCCACACAATCCTGGTGACAGGTGGTTGCGGTTGCGTTGGCTATCATATTGTGAAAGCCTTACTTGAGGAATCATCTTCTTCCGAAATCCATGTTTTCTCGCGCAATCCAACCCAAAATCAATTACCAAAGGTAGAATACCACGCGGGAAGCCTCACCAACCCAGAGGACTTAAAGTCAATCTTTTCCAGTGTCCAACCAACTGTTGTATTACATGTGGCGTCACCTACATCTGCGGGCAACACTGCAAGCGCAAAGCTATTCTACGATGTGAATGTCGAAGGGACCAAAGCCCTTCTCGCTAGCGCTCAGCAATGCGAAAGAACAAAAACCTTCATTTAAACCTCATCCTCAACTGTTGCAAGATCTCCCAATCATTTTACAACAGAAACCCAGCCATTGTTGCCCACAACCTCAAAGACCGATTTTAATTACTATGCAACGACCAAAGCAATAGCTGACCCATTTGTCCTAAATTCCAATGAGCCGAACGGATTGAAAACATGCTGCCTTCGACTTGCTCTTATCTATGGCGAAAGAGACAATCAAATGATTCCTGGTGTGATGAATGTTCTCCATGACAATCAACACACCAATCAGATAGGAAACAATACAGCGTTGATGGATTTTCTCTCTGCTCGAAATGCCGCCCGGGCACATGTTTTGGCGTACAAAGCCTTGATGAAACCCGAATCCGCCTCCCACTCGAAAATTGCTGGAGAAGCATTTTTTATCACTGATGGAAAGCCGGTGCCGTTTTGGGATTTCAGCCGGAAGATTTGGGCAGCTGCTGGTGATAAGACACCGCCTGAAAAAATCAATTTAGTGCCAGTATGGCTTGTATTGGGACTTGCTGTTGCGCTAGAGTGGATATATTGGGTATTCACATTTGGGCAAAAGAGTCCTGGGTCTTTAAGGAGCCACACTATTCGATGGGTGACTGAAGAGCGAACATACTCTATCGAAAAGGCAAGGGAGCGATTGGGTTATGACCCTGTTGATGAGACGGACCAAAGTATCAAGGAAGGTGTTGAGTGGCATTTGAAGGAATTGAAGGAAAAGGGGGGAAGATAGTTGGGAGAACTGGTCATTGAAGTTTGTTCTGTGGAGTATTTATATGATTTCTTGAATACTTTTTTCCACATCAGATTCAAGTTGTTCGCATCTGGAGAAGCATCTGTCTCATTTGGTATTGGACCTGTACAATAAGCAATTAGCCAACTACCCCTTTCTTCATCTAAATTCGGGAAACTCTTCTGTCAAATTGCTTTCTACTCACAATACAACAAAACATGAAGTATGGTAGCACAGTTCCCTATCTTGGTATTCAAATGGAACCTCGATCGTTATACTCATTCAACGCAATCTTTTTTCGCTTTATTTGATGACACAAATATATCTAAACCGACTTTTTCATTTTCTCTAAGAAGGAACCACCAGCCAACTTGATTCCCTCATCCAAAGATACGCGAGGTCGATACCCCAGTACTCGTTTAGCCTTGTCAATTCGGTAGGTCCTAGTCATGTAGCTGTATTTGATCCCCGAAATAGTCATCTTCGATTTCTTTCGACCCAAAGAGGTGATCCAGACCACCCATTCCACAAGAACGGCTATTGTGAGTGCCAGAATACGGGAATAGATTTTGCTGTCTCTGGATTTGTGGGATGCCCTGCAGCGGCCCCAATTCGTCGAGCAAATCCCAGAAGCTCACATGTTCATCATTCGTGATAAAGAATGTCTCCCCTCCGACAACCATGTCTCCTTCTGGTGCCTTGATATGACTTCTCAGGGGAGCTTGTAGAAGAAGAATATGCGCATAAGCAACATTTCCATTGTATGCAAAATCGAAGAGGTTCTGACCATTGCCAACCTGGTATTTGTATTTACCACTTGCTGCATTTTCTGCGAACGCGAGTGCAGTGCCATCGCCTTCTCCAAATACATCAGAAGGGCGAAGGCAGGCAGTAAGCATACGGCCATCCATTGAATTGTTGTAGTCAAGTACAAGTTGATCAGCAAGAGCTTTCGAGTTAGTATAATATTCCCGTTGAACCGGGAGATATACAAGTGGCAGCGTCTCGTCTGCTTCAACCAAGTCGCTGACTGAATCATGAACGACCGAGGCGCTTGAAGTATACACAAAAGCTTTCACGCCAACTTCCTTGTGACGTGTCAGTTTCGGCGTCTTTTAGAGCATGATTGCTTCTTTATGCGATCTAACTTGTGCAGATTGAAGTAGGGTACGAGTACCTTCGACGTTCACTCTCAGGTACAACGAAAGATCTGTTAGGAGTGGTGGCGGTGACGCAGTATGGATAATGGCTTGCGGTCGAATTTGGCGTAGAGCATTGTCGAGTTGCTTTTTGTTCGTAATATCCAAATCATGATATTCAACAGATGGCTCCCGGTTCTTCTTCGTTCGGACATCGAAGACCGAGATTCGGACTGGTGGATAATATTGAGAAGTTCTTGGACTATCTTATGACCAAGTAAGGCACAGTCGCCTATAACAATGGCGGACCCGATTTTGGAATAGTCATTCATACTGTGCGTGGGATTGATTTTGCGAGAGTTCAGTGGGTAGAAGGAGCTAAGGTTGATACAATAGTGAGTTGAAATAGTCTTGTACTGTTTAAGCCAGTGGACCTATCAGGATAAAACCGTTTGAAGGTGGGTAGGTACTCGAATACTCAGGAAAACCTGCCTGTACTGATAATTAATCCAAACGACGAGACATATAAGTGGTTTCTGTCCAATCAAACACGTATTTCCTTGGCAGCTAGCTACCTTAGCTGTAATTGAAAAGACTCTTCCCGCCTATCATGCCCCCTGTCTCATTCGCCTCGTTGTGTGTCCCCGCCTGTACTGTAACTTCCAACACCAACATCTTATTCCAACGAGACTAATCTAGATTCCAACACCGCCATTTTGTTGAATTTGTGTTCCGGGTTACGGCTCGCACATGTGGGTCAATCTGGATTTGAGTGCACCAGACTAAATTCGTTGATTCCAGCTGCTGTAGACTAACGACCCAGTAAAGTCCAAAGCCTATACGACTTGCACGTAAAAAGTAACTAATTTTGCGACTAATTCCTATAAAAGTTTTGAGTGCTGTATTTTTCTGCCTCTATAGACTTTAAAGATACAAAAGTGCCCGAGTACCCGCGGTATCTGTACGATAAATTAGTACATATTAATACTACAACTTGAACTGCTTTAAAGGACTGGCATATAAATTTCCCTAGAGGTGAGGAGTAGAGGTGGCTGAATACTACAATGGGTGTGGAAAAGCCGATAGGTTCAGGTCACATTTAGTACCAAATCGTGTATTTCAAACCAATCGTTGTGCACATTTAAGAAATTGATTCAGTTCGTTATAACCTTTTAGATGTGAGAGCCGTTCAGCCCCTTTGACTTCTCCTTCCTACCCCTTCTCTCGATTTCTCCACGTAGATAAACAAGACCGACATCCGTGACAGTATTACACTACACTTTAGGTGATGTAAAACTTTCGTTGTGCGAACATCCAAGCATAACTCAACGAAGCGACCATAAATGCTGGCAACGTTTCCTTTCCCAATCTCATAGTTCCATAAACCCAACACTCGCTGCCAAAGTGTGCCGTAACGACGACAAATGACCACATACAAATATCGTAGGCTACTTTGTTGTCGATGTTGTATGCAGCATAGATTCGAATCATCATTGCCAGAGAGGTCCAAGTGCCAAAGAGACGGGTACTCAACCCACTGACTTGGCGCGATGCCGTTGGACCGTTGTACATTTTACTGCCGTTTTCTGTTGAGATGAATGCCGCGGTGGTGGCCATACCGGCCATAGACGATACCTGCAACGAATTTTAGATAGCCCTCAGCTGAAGACACTGTGGGGACATAGTTACCACTAGAAGCCAGTATGGTAGAAGACCGTCATAGGATGGGAGTAGTGAGGCCATGATGACGATGTAAGCAAATGGATAGCGACGACAATAGTAAGATGCAAGGCAGCTTGGGGAACTACTGTTGACACTTGCTCGACTTATATATATTGAGTAAGCGACGGTGTGGTGAATAACATCACTGCGGGCGATCAATTTTGGAACAGAATTACATGTTGGAGCCGGGGTATTTGGGTAACAGCGGGATAAATACATCCCCTGAAAACTGATACTACTCTCCCTAACATTCAGATTGGCACTGAAATTTGGGTGCGTCCAATTAAATGTAGTGCATAGAAACCTTTTCCATTATTACGTGGTCCTAGTCTTTACAACATACTATGTTTACTCGCAAAGTTTTCACAAGCTATCGATCGTGGCATGCGTGTAAAAACACCCGAGGAGCGCAAGACCTCATAAATCACGTGTCACGATATTGTGTCATGCGGTCATCAAGCTTCATAACTGAGAACTAATAGCATACTATTAGCTCCTATTAGGGCGTGCTTGAGAGAACTTTATCTCTTATTTTGCTATAGTACATACCTACCCAATTACCCCTATTTCTGACAAGAGGCTTAGAATAGATACATGATGAAAATATAACCCCACGTGACGAGACAATCCTTCTTTATAGGGGGCAGAATGCTAGATACATTTCTGGATTTGAGAAGAGCTCAAATTTGGTATTTCGGGCCCAAAATATAGTGGCTCTTTTGGTACAGATCAGCGGAGTGTGCCCCATTAGATAGATTTCGCACCTGCTTTTGGACCTAATTCCTGTCGGAGTACGCTTATTTAAGTGTTCTTTGAGATCTCAGTAGGGAGCTGCTCTACTAGACTTACTAAGTAACAGGTTAAGCGCTTCTCTCACCTAGCTCCATTTTATCAAAAATCTCGTTATAGAAATGGATGTTTTTAGTATCTCGAATCCTTATCTTTCCTTGTTGAAGGAAAGGTCGGTTTCAAACACTTATATTTAGATTTTTAAACATTGGAAGAGTAAGTACTTAGCCCCTAGAATCTCACTTTTACCCGTTCTTACTTACTACAACTGTCCCTAAGCTAGTGCTCTCCTACCCCCTTTAACCATAAAGAGCGAAACACTTAATTTTTGATTAGTTTTAACTATACACTGGTATTCTCATTTTTATAAGGTGAAAAAAGGTCGTGTCCAAAAGAACAATTCCGTCTATTCAATAGCATAGCTCAGAATATGTAACAATCAAGTGTTTTGTCGAGTTTACTCAAGTATATACTCAAGTGAATCCCCATATATAATCAAATACTATTAACAAAATATTAGATCATATTTATAGATAACATTATTATACCATTTTTGCTTCCCTAATACGAATAACGTCTCTCGAGAAAGTCTTTTATAATTCACGTACCAATATATACTGATATTTCTAATTGTATACGTAAAGTGGTTGTTTTTATAGTAGGTGAGATAAGTAAATTAGGAATACGTATTCGTAAATTTAAGACTTTGCTATATTGCTGATCTGCATGGTATATCTAAGTATCAGAAATGAAGGCAGATTACTTTACTCGGAATAATGTTTATTTTGCATTTGATGTACGAGCTAAACGTTCCTAATAACTCATGATTAATATAAAATCGTAATTTATATGGGGCATTCTAAGTATAAATTCCGAGCCAAGAGGGACCTTTATACGATTTACGAGTCATCAGTCGTGAAGAATTTAGAACTTTAATTTATATGGCGCATTCGGAGTGCACATTCCTTTCTTCAGTAGTTTACAGGGGGCACCAAGGGGGCGGGCTTCTAAGCGAGAACACGAAAATATCTCGATCGTAACCACACCTCTATCATTCACAACATGTACATTGCTTATACTTCTAAGAAGCCAATATCATGCGATTTTGAAGCGTGCGAAAGCCAAGGTACAAAATTAATATCAGAGAGGCAGTGTTGAAGACTCCGATCGGGGGAAATGGGCGCAGCGATGGGCACGCGCGGGTGCCACGAGGTTGGACCCACCTTCGCTTCTTCCTTGGCTTACTAACCGGAGTGAGAAACAAGCGGATCAGCTTTAAACATCCTAAAAGATACTGGTAGAATAATTTTACAAAAAACTCCGAATAGAGTCTAGTAAGTCATCCGTTTATTGCCTGGTCTCGTCGCTACTTGGCGTACACGTCGAACATCTACTGTACTGTCTGGACGGCCACAAGAGACATGAATATATATCAGTAGAATCTCATCCATAATTCTTTGAGATTCATCCTCAACACCTTCATTCACAACATCTACGACTTTGGCTTACAGCTACTTCTCAAGCCCTATCTTCAACACTCGACAAAATGCAACTTTCAAAACTTTTGGCGTGCACCTTTCTAACAACCAGGTATTTATTCTCGATGAATTGATACCAGAGAAAACATTCTTACACCTATTTCAGTGCAGTCGCAGACCTCAAGATCAGAGGCATTTGTACGAGCCGAAGCATCTACTGGAACCTATTGGTAGGTTTTCCGGCACGATATAAACCCAGGTATTATGGATAAACACTGACACTTTGTAATAGTTCTTCCCCGATAGAGACGCGACCATCAAAGCATGCGATGCTTACAAAGCCCGACCTGTGGGGCCGAATAAGGAAGATAGTTGTCCCGATTGCGTTTTTGAGGACCGCGTGGTCACGCCAAATTGCTATAGCCAGAACGAGCATATCGGTGGTGTAGAGGTAAATTCATCCATTTATTATTCCACGCAGTCTTGAGATCAGTAGAGCGGGGTTGTTAGATCTTCCTTGGTCAGGATAAGGCGGTGGAAATGAAACGTTTTAAGTCATTTGAAGGCATCCGCTAACTTTTATTTCTAATAGTGGGAAGAATTGTGTCAAGCCAATGGTGCTATGAGAGGATATGGAATTGGAAATTAAGTCTTACAATGAGAATTGTGGAATGATGGGAGTAAGAAAGTAGTTGTTGCAAGATATTTGCTATTCACTCATTACCTCCTAGCACTAGCGTCATTCTAGGGGATTTTAAGCCCACCTGTCTGTACCTTTAAGGCTTTAACAAATTGAAGAGGTCTTTCCATTCTATCGAACAACAGTATTTGCTACAAGTATAAAATATTTTTGGAAACTTCTAAGTAAAGAGATGTTACGAAGACAGGCAACGCGACATTCACGCTTTTCGGGTTGGGTACTTGCAGCTATATATATACCCAACAACATCATGGACCAAACACCGGCAATGCACCTCGTAGGTGCAAAGCATCCATCCTAAATACTTAGATGAAATACACCGTTTGTAGTACTAACAAACGGAATCCTCCAGGCTTAAAAAAGTGGAGAACATACCCCCATAACCCTCTACAAATACATCCTTCCACCTCTCATCAAGAAGCTAACCACCTCGCAAATCTACCTCAAAACCCACACATGACTCCCCAAATCAAACCACACAACATGCCCCTCGTCACGCCCCTCACGACCTTCACGTCCGTCACAAGCGCAACTCAAGCCCGCGCCTGTAACAAATCCATCTACTTCTCAAATGAAGCCGTCCAAGCCGAACGCACCGGAAACTATGCCCTCGCTGCTGAGCTGAGGGTGGCAAGGAGATGGTTTGTACTTACCATAATGTGTGTTTTTAATGTTTGCTTTCTTTGCTTTTCCGGAAGTCTTGGTTGTGTGTGGCTGATGGATTTATTTAGTGTCCAGGACAGATGTTTGCGTTGAGCGAGTTGAAGACATGCGGTGGTTGTGGTGCACCTAATTATTGCTCGGTTGATTGCCAGAAGCGTGATTGGAAGGAGAGACATAAGGTTCTTTGCCGAAAGTTGAAGGAGTCTAGTAAGAAAGATACCTAGGTGATGGTATGGTAAGGTTGAGTGTAGTAAGTAAAGGCACTTGCTATTGGTGACCAGAGTGCATTAGGTGGATCTTCGGGGATTAATAGGATAGTCTTTGAGAATTTGGCCATAGGTGATGATAATACTGCATCTATGGACTACCGCAATAGACCCTTGTATGTATTCTTTCAGAATTCAGCATGAGCATTTCCCAAAAGGAAACATATCGTGAAGTTTAGAACCTCCAACCAAAAAAGCCTCTCGCAAGCATAAGCGAAACAATTCAAACCCTCACAACTCCTAGGCCCATTTAACCCTCCTTTAATAACTCCTCCAATTCCAAAATCCTCCTCGCCGCATCCCCAAAAGTCTCTACCTCACTCCTAGGCATCAAACCCAATTTCACGTTCCATTCCTCCACATCCCCAAAATTGACCTCCCTCTCAACCTCATCTCCATCACTCGGAAGTCTCCCCTCCAACTCCTTCACAGTCTTCAAAGCATCAACCGCAAACTGAGAACTGTATTTCTTTCCTCCAACAATGAGACGTTGGTTCGCAACCGCCGGAGTTGTGAGCGACTTGATATGTGCAATTGCGAGGTCGCGGACGTCGATCTGAGATTGTTAATCATCTTCGTCCTTCATTGAGGGGAAAAGGGGTTGTGAGAGGAGAAGCAAAGGATAACAAACATAACTAGGAAAGCTAGTCCCTGAAATAACCTCATTACTCCCATTAAAAAGCCCATAAAAAACATCATTACTATAATTAATCCTCTTCAAGCTCGTCACCAGCTGAAGCGGAGGTCCAAAAATGAGCCCAGGTAAAAGGACCGTAACCAAGAAGTTTGGTTTCTCCTCGTCGACGAATTTCCAGATTGCTTTCTCGGATTCGGCTTTGGCGACGCAGTAAGAGATGTATGGATGCTGGGCTTTGATAGCGTCGTCGATTGTGAGCTGGTTGTGTTAGTGAGGACAAGGAAATTGGGAAGGGATGTGAATGGGAAGATTACAGGAAGCCATTCAGAACTGGTAAACACCCTCTCTAGATCCTGACCCGTGGTCATGGCGTTGATCGACCCAGTAACGACAACTGCCTTAACACTATTCCCATACTTCTTTGCGGATTTCAGGAGTTCCGTAGCCCTGTACTCACACAATTAGCCCAATCCTTTCCTCACACCCCAGTCTCCCCTCCTCCCTCTTCCCTCTTCCCCCTTCTCCTCCTCTCAACCCACCAACCCAACCCCAAAACAAAAGAAAGAAAGAAAAAAAAACATACCCCCAACAGAAGGCCCCAAAAAATCCCTCTCAAAATCCTCATTCCCAGGATCATCCAGCAACGGCGCCGCAGTATGAACTACAAACTCAAAGTCCTTCTCTCGGAACGTGTCATCCCAGGTGCCTGGCTTCGCGTAGTCCGAGACGACGACGAAGTCGAGTTTGCCAGCGTACTCCGGGTGGAAGGCGAGGATTTGGGTGCCCTTGGTGGGTGTACGGACAGCTTGGGTTTGTTAGGAGAAGAATAGGGGGGAAGGGAAGGGTGAAGAGAAAAGAGGACAAACATCCAGTAACTATGTATCCCTTCGCGATAAGTTGGTCGATGATAGTCGCGGCTACGAAACATTCGCGCCTGTGACTAGGACTTTAGACATCTTTGGTTCTCTCGTTCTTTCTCTCTCTCTCTTATCTTCTTATTCCTTCCTTCCTTTCTTCGATAATGTCGAAGTGACTGAAGAGAGAAAGCAACCCAAACCCGAATTTGAGTTGGGATGAATTTGAGGTGGGATGAGAATGCGTGTCAGGTCGAGGGGGGTAACGGTATAAGGATTCACGACCGCAAATCCTTTGTTCGTCTCCGGAAGATGTGATCTCGAACTCAACCTGTAATAAGAAGTCCTCTATAATGTTAAACCCAAGAAACACATCGAAAATCTCGCTCAAAACCCTGGCTCAAACAGAGAACTCGACTTACCTCTCTCAGAAAAAGGGACCACCCTTCCTTCTTATCCAAGTCCCCCCTCAACCTACAATCCCCTCCAAACCAACGTTCAGACCACGAAAAAGCCCCTTGATCTATCTATCCATAGGTCCCCCTCCACACCTCGCCTAGCAACGCCACAACCTTACTAATCATTTACCCATACTCGTACCGTACCACAAACACTACTCGTACGTACGTCTCTTTTTCCATATGGCTGACTGGATAAACACCAGTAAAGTCCACCGTGACAGGCTTGCAGACGCCACTGCCTCCTCCTTAGGCGATAGGGTATTCCACATAAATTTTATTGGCCAAATCTCGTACAGACTCAACAAGTGATACAGGTTAAGGTCCGTGAAGACTTAAGGCTTGCTTACCATGCATGTAAACACTTTGTCAGCTGCCACAAGATGAGGCTGCAAAGGTTACAGTAGGGGTCCACACCAGTGACAACATACATTACATAGTACATACTGTAGTGTAACCAACAAACTAGGTCACACACAAAAAGAGCCAGTTGGGAACCAAACAAACAACCAGAAAACGATCCTGCACAACGATTTCAAATCCCTCAAAAAAAATTAATATTAAGATGCATGTATTGCACCAAACTTGCATGGTAGCAAAAGTAAGCTACCTGTTACAATATCTACCTATCATCCATACCAATACCCCGCATGTATGTGACCATATCACCCGCACACTCCAAAATTCACATTGAAACTACCGACGAACACTCTTCCCAGCAGGACTACTATTCTTATCCAGCGCGGCATTCGCCCTCTCAAGTTTCGCCTTTGCGCTTGCATCATTTCCCTCCAAATCCGCATACCATTGCTTGAGCTTGGCAACATACTTCTTCTCCTCATCGCCAAACTCAACCTCCGGTCCCCGAATTTCAGGCGGCTCATCTTCATCCCCTCTGAACACTGCCCAACTAGCCGTGTTATTATTTTGGTCGGCGGAAAGCAGAACATTCCGATTCTTCCCGGGTGCGACCTTGAAGTTGCGAAGGAGAATTCCATCGCCAGCTTTCACTACAGGTAAAGCGTCCTTGTATTGTCGGAAAACTTGGACTTCAGTGACGCCGTTAGGAGCGGTACTAGGATCCGTTATATTGAATGTTACTTGAGAGCTGCGATTCTTGAGTCTCTTCGGCTCTGGCGAGTTTGTCGTGGCGATAGCTAAAACGTCGAGCTTCGCATTTTGGTGATGGCGAACCACTTTCAACGATGTGAACTCGCCGTAATCTGTTCTTAAATGTTGAAGTTGTAGCTTCAGCTGAGCAACTGGAGAGGCTAAAGGATTAGGTTGTTTCGAGGGCGATTCTAGCGATGAGAGAGCCAATTCAACGCTCGCATCGTGGCTTTTCATTGGCGAAAATTGTTGATCAACCACCGACATTGCTGTCGACTCCTCAATTGGAGTACTAGGAGGCTCATTGGCAACAGATCTGGTCGGCGTTTCCGGTAGAACGCTTTGGCTCGCAGACCTGGCCCGCCTATTGCTTCTTCGAGGTGGGACGGGCGTGGTCTCCGGCTCAGGTAAAGCTTTCGATCGCGTTTTACCAGCGACTTTCTTGGGTGTGGACTTTTTAGGCTCCTCGTCTTTTGGAGGGCTTTGAGCGATATCTTCCAAAGCTGCTGCTTTGGCCTCTTCAACTATTTTCTCGATCAATGTAGATTCATTTGTAAGGGTGACCTCGTCCATAGCAGCCGCTTCGACTTCCTGGACTCTTTTCTCGATCACTGTAGATTCATCTAGAAGAGCTTCGTCCATATCAAGGCTAGGGGGTAACTCGGTAGTCGATTTGGACTTTTGAGGAGACTGTGACTCAGGAGAATCCGTGAAGGAGACGTCCGCAGAAGCCATGGTCGGCGATATCTGAGTATCATCAGGGGTCGACAATTGGACATTTTTTCTTCCCCTTCGTGTGCGTTTAGGCGATATGTCATGAGAACCGTCTGATCCAAATGGTCTGTTAGTTCGAGAATTTTCCTTCTGCTTGCGAGTTCGGGGCGACGCAGCGTATTGCTCAGTAGTGGTATTTTTATCCACTTTGTCTCCGTTATTATCCAGCTCCGAGGTTATATTAGCAACATCTTTCTCGTCGGCATCCTGGTCAGCATCTTGTGAAGCAGCTTTTTCGGCATCCATATTTCCGACAAACTCTTCAACTTCTTCATCATCCTCCTGGATCTCCGCCAAATCAGTTTCACCTGCAGCACTTGCGGCTTCTGATTCTGGCTTCTCCATAACTTCTTCAGATACCTCGCGGAGGAGGCTTTCCTGAATGTCAACTTCATCTTGGTCGGCAGAACTTGCACCTCCTGATTGTAGTCTCTCCTCAATCTCTTCAGATACTTCACGGGTATCCTCCTGAACCTCCATTGCATCAGCTTCATCGTCACCGGCAGTACTTGCTGGTCTTGAGCTTGTTTTCTCCTCCGTTTCTTGAGATGGCGCTCGAGATTCCTCTTGCACATCTCCCTCAGCAATCTCCATTGGCTCCGCGTCACTTGCTTGTTCATTCGATTCTTCTAAACTTTGGATGTTGTCGTTTTCTTTTGTTTCAGCCTCATCAGTCATTTTGATCTCGGCTGTTTGGTCATCCTCAAGCACTTCGTCTTCAACTTGAACCTGCTCCATGACAGTTTTGTCATTTTGGACTTCCGATTCAGCTTGAAGCTGCTCATCGGCAGCTTCGCCACTCTGGTCTTCTTCGTCCATTTCAACTTCTCCTATATCCACATCGACACCCCCAGCCTTATGTGGAATGGCTCCATATTCGGTATTGATATCATGGGGATTTTCATTGAACGTTGTTGTCGGAACTAAGTCCATCTCTTCTGGTTCGCTTTCTGCCTCGTCAACATCAGACCCAGATGCAGACACTTGTTCGGCATCCTCGCTTATCTCCTGGATATCTCCCAAAACAGTCTCAATTCTGCCAGACTCGGAGGAAGATTTTGGGTCAGTATTCTCAACTCCTTCCTGGATCTCTGCTTCGATGGTATCGGGGCCATGCAGATCCATTTGCTCCGGATCCGGCTCACTCTCTACATCAGGGGCAGACTTAGAGTCTTGTTCCGCATCCTTGCCTACGTCCCTCTGGACCTGAGAAGCCTCGAGGCCCATAGAAGACTTGGTTTCGGAGTTGGTGCTCAGGTCGTCGCCCGGGATTTCAACAGCTGGATCTGATTGTTTTCCAGTATCTTCCCTCGCTTCCTCAATCACTACTTGAACGGTTGGGAGTTTGTCTGAGGACTTTGTTTCGATCTCCGCACTGATTTGCTCGACTGGAATACCAACTTCCGAACCAAGCTCGTGTTCTACCTCCTCAATGACTACCTGGGCGTTTTCCCATGCATCTTCGTGCTTATCGGATGGCTCTGATAAAGGTTGCAGGACGACATCTCCACCTGGAATCTCAGTATCCGACTCACTTTCTTCAGATTCTTGTTCAATGTCGTCAATCATCCCCTCGACCTCTCCTTGAATGACCCCATTCTTATCAGAGGACTGAGAATCGGCATCTGACTCATTTTCATTGTCTACGAGGCCAATATCCGATTCGCTCTCTTCTCCCGCTTCATTGTCAATAGTATTAGGTTCTATGTGTTGAGGAGTCACGGTTGATTTCTGCTCAGGCGGAGCCTCGTCTTCGTCGTCAGAAGATAGCAAGTCAATGAAAACAGGAGCTGATGGAGGCGCTGGCTCTTCGTCCTCCATGGACTCATCATCGTCTTCGTATCCTCCCTCTTCCTCTTCATCGTATTCCTCCTCTACATAACCTTGCGGATACGATATGCGACTAACGCCACTTGGGTGTTGATCATCATCGCTACCAATTTCCGAGAACTCTTCATCCTCAAGCTCTTCGCCGTTCTCATCAGGGTATTTCCGAACTAGTCGACCCTCCTCATCCTCTGTGTACTCATTCTCGGTCATTTCGCCTTCACCAAGCGAGCCTTCGTCAACATTGGGATCGCCCTCATAGTAACGAGGTGCCATAGGATCTTCCAAATCCTCTTCAAACTGATCGTCCGAATCTTCCAAAGACTCGTTGCCAGCATCAATTTCTCCATGTGGATCATGCTCGCCGTCACTTTCTGTCAAGTCAACAACTTGTGATTGCTGTGAGCGTGCGCTTTGTGAACGTGACATTGCTGTTGATTGATGACGCTCCTGGTGATCAATAGACGGATCTGTTTCCATGGGGCCTGGTAAGTCTGGATAGCCCATGGGTTTTGGCACCGAGGCCCAGGCTGGAATTTGCTGTGGTAAACCATCTAGATCAGGATATTCAGTGAGACTGTGTACTGGAGCTGAATCATGCTGTAGGTCTACCAGATCAAACTGTCCATGCTGGTGCTTTGCAATACCAAAGGCATCATCATCAGGGATTTCCGTAGAATCTTCAGGGGCATTGGAAGGTAAGTGGGAGTGAGGAGATACCATTGCACTTTGCTGGCTAGAAAGAGCACGGTCGATAAACCCTTCTTCGGCATGTGAAGGATCTAACATGTTAACCTCCGGAATATTTGGGGCGAATCCAGGTGGTCCAGCAGATTCTCTCCTTTTCGCAACTGGGCTTGCGCTGTATAAATTTTCGGTTTCGTCCTCATTCAAGAGATCAGCTTGAATCGGCGGTTGCATAATTTGGGTTTGACTGGGATCGGATACAGTAGGCGTTGGCTGGAAGCTACTCATGGAAAAGCCTCTTGAAATGAGAGGAGAAACAAGGGGCAAAGAATCTGAGGACAGGGGCATTAATTTAGGCGATTGAGGGATACTCAGGTTGTCATCAGCAGAGTTGCCGTTTTGTTCCGCAAAATCCCTTTGGATTAATGGTGCTTGTATATGGTTCTCGTTCAAATTGATTGGGTTGAACACATTTCCCAAAACGGGCTGTAGGCCTGCATATGAAATACCACCAGCATTAACAGCTTGTTGAGCAAAGTTCGCCAGAGATTCTGCGGCGTCATCGACCTCTAGGCCGATAGTTTGACATCCCTCATCTTGCATCACAGGCTTTGGTGTCTCAACGGGCGGATTGACAACTTCCACTTCCATGGAATCTTCACTTTCCGGAGTTGGCGACCGGCTAGCATATGTCCATGTGGAACTCAGTCTTGTCCGTTTTCTTCCCTTACCATTCACGGTTCCGTCCTCGTCCGCAAATGGGTCCAATTCAAAAAGAGAACCATAGGAAGTCCGGGCACGTTTAACAAAGGCCGGAGAAGAATATACGCCATTATCAATTAGAGATTCGTCTCGAGTGGAGGTACCGTTCGTTGTTACGGGGGGCACTGGAACGAAATCGGGGACAGCGTCTGGCAATATTGAATTGATAGGAAGCTCAGATTCTGGTGGAGGGTGGTCTATATCGATGATCTCGAATTCGTGGGCCTCTTCCTGCCGAAACTATTGCAAAATGATGAGCGGAAATTCAACAGCAAGTGGATCCATCTGATATTACCTTGAGAAGGACTCTTTCTGTAAATCGTAATTCAAATTCGACACCTCTTCCAGAAGCAGAAACCGTGGTGCTGTTATCCTTTATCCATTCCACGCCATCTAGGCACAATACGACCTCATCTCCACTGGCGATACTCGATTTCGCAACGCGCTTTGCACTAGATCCCGCAAACTGCACGCGCACCTGGCCCCTCGATCGACGCAGACGGAAATCAGGTTCGGAGAGTGCGTATGCGACACATCCAGTAGCAGAGCTATATGGCCAGGTCAAAGTTACAATAGCTTTGATTGCTTTCGAGCTTGGTTCTGGGATGCTGGGGGATAGCTCCGCGATTGGAATGTGCGAGGTATTATCGAGAAGCGTGAGAGCCGAGTTGGAGGACTCCATTGCGATTTCTGGGAGGTTTATCATGAAGTGTCGGGCATCGTCGCGCAATTCAAAACTGGTTCGACCGTTTATTGTGGAGAGGAAGCGTGTGAGTACTGTTGCGCGCAGAGGCTACTCGTCCGGTATTTGCTTGAGCTGTTGCAACTTTAGCAGATGCTCTCGGGTGACGCGAACGGAAAGCGGTGGGTGAAGCTGGCAGGGAAGGGATGGCACTATTGGCACATCATGTAAAAGCGGCACCTGTCGGGCTACCTATTCAAAGCTGAGAGCACTCCCAGAACCTTCTTGATGTCATACCTGAAAATCCACTGTACTCATGTAGGGATTTTTCTACTTTCCAAATCTCTTTGTGCAAATCACTTCAAAGATATCTTATATGAAGTTTGTTCCCTCAAAGTCAACACAGAAAGATCAATCTTACACCATAAAATAATTTCAACCCCATGGAAAAAAGCATCTCCGAGCCCGAGTGTGGACACAGATCTAAACGTAATTCCAATCCTCTCATTCGTCCTACCTACTTGTACACTACCGTAATTGGGGCTTTTCTTTGGCCTGTGTATGCTTCTAGCCGGAGTATTGCAGTGAAACTCTTTCTATCTTCCCACTTGATATGCTCAACCTCCTGTGCATCTCATCTCAAATAGTTTTCCCACATGTTTGTAGAGAAGAACAAGACCAAATCCATTCCTCTCAAACAGAAGCGAGAGGCTATGAGGGATAATAAGCTGTAGCCCATCATATTTGAGAAAACAGCTCACTGAAAGTAGCTAAGTGTAACCTTCAAAAGCTTGCCTAGTCTACCTGTCACATTTCCGCTACTGTACTCAAGGCTGTTCGTTCGTTGAAGTCATATCAGTTTCATAATAACCGGCAGCAGTTCCAAACAACATTAATTGAAAGAGAGCGGGGTGAATCGTTCCAGAGTCTCAAGGAAAAAAGCACTTGCAAGAAGAAAGCACGACCATAAACAGAATACAAGCCCAATACCCCCTTTTCAGGTCTCCTCACCCCTAAACGCCAACTCCCTAGGATTACCCCACGCATCACAAGGATTAAACCTCCAAGCCCCCCTATGTTTCCTCGCAAACCAATAATTAACAACATACGGCACAAACCAGGGTACAGGAGGGAACTTATGGATGCCCCCCTCAAAGCCCTTATCTACACATCCCAACGCCAAGGGCAGCATCTCATCGAAGGTCCCGGTGTCATTGGCGTGTTTTTGATTTTCTGACCATGGTCCCTTCAGCCCTTCACTTTCGTACTGCTGCAGTGCGAGGAGGGTGGCGATTTCATCGTTCAGATGGGTGAATAGCTCGGTTGCGAAGCTGTCGATTATTGACCGGAGGATGGTGGACGAGTAGGAGGTCGGAGGGGTGGTTGTGCTGTAGGTGTGGAGGGTTTCTAGGCCCGTGTGGAATGTGGCGTGTTGAGAGAGGTTTCCTGCCATGAGGGTGGGGTTTTTAGTGTACTTTACCAGGGCTGGGAAGAGGTGGTTCTCTTCACTCTCGTGATGGGCGTGGATTGTTGTGACGAGGGTTTTGGTCGAGGGTTTTGGTGTAGAACAGTAGGTCGGCAATGTCTTGTGGTTCGGTGACATGGGGACTTTGCAGGTAGATGCTGTTCATTGCGCGGATGAGCATGTTGTGGACGTGGCACATTGTTGTTGCGATGTACAAGGCGTAATGTTGAGTTCTGGGAGCATTACATAGTACTTAGCGAGGAGACTTGACCTAAGTGAGTTGGGGGGGTTGTACTGACGATGTCGTGACCATCTCCTTGAGGACTTTTCATTATTGGCCATGGTTTGTCTGCCCATTGTGATGGGAGGATACTTGTTGTGCTCATGTTGACTTACTTCTCTCTCTGCAACTGATATAGAACACTTGTACTCTCCTTCAAGAAAGAGGGAATTAGTTGAGCTTTTGGGGAAGGTCAGAATAAATTGGATTCAAATAACCGCATTCGTATAGGCTTACAGTAAGCCCTTGAAAGAGTAGTTTACACGAAAAAGTAAGCAAGCAAGAACGAAATATTGGTATGCACTGTGCCGTAGGAAATCGCGTTTTCCCTATCTTACATAAGGTAGATGTTATTGTGCGAGTAGCATCTCGCTGGTACTCAGCCTTATCGGAGATGGTACCGTATTAGACATAGTATTGTGAATGTAGAGAAGTGGTGGGAAATATTTAGCGTATATCACAAGACCGTGTGTAGAAATATAAAATAACTGTTACAATAGCATGCAGAAAATAATAAGCCATGGGGTAGGGAGATAACTACCAGTGAGATAATTAGCTCTCTGTTTGTGTGTTAGCGTGCGTATAGTGATAGATGGTGTAGAGACGACGGAGACGTTATATATTCCGATTTGAATTTGAGCAATTCGAAATGACAACCGCTACACTTCAGTACCTATAAAAAATATCCCAGTGATTCGAAGGGATACCTCTGTCTACCTATTAGAAATCCATGCCAAGAATGATTGGACGTCCTCTGCTATGATTTCTACCTAGGTACTCGATATTGAATTTAGTTTTCTGTTACAGCTATCACTCGAGTGCTACTTCCTAAGACGCTTAGTCACTGAATTCGTAGGAGAAGTCCTTGTAAAATGCAATGCCAATGATATTGTAGCTCGCTGTGGCCATGAAGTTGCAGCTCTCGCGCAAGCCGCCTACGGTCCCGCGCGATTTCCGCTCCTTTTTAAAAATTCAAGCTCGATCCTAAACTACCGACGTACTTTACGAACTAGCGTCGCGATAGCGCTAGTAAATAAACGTCGGAATTATAGCGTATTAGCTTAAATTACCTATCTACGATTTATATAAGTTTTAGAAGCGTTTTAGAGGATAGTCTATCGAGTAATATATACCTATAAGCGTACGAAATAGCTAGTATATCGACCTTATCGATAGGATAATAGTACTTACTATAAGATACTTGTCATAATAAAGAGGCGCAACCCTCGACAGGCACATCCAGGTTTCTTATAGCAAATAGGGATGCTTAGACTAGCTAAGCGATCCAAGGATTTCTCGTGTATGTAGTCACGTGATCAATCGCATCGCCTGTATCGGACATCGTCCAAAAGCCCTTAGTCGTTATATGCGGTAGTAAAGAAGCCAGCTCTATTTTCCATAGCCATCATCTTCATCGGTATAATGTGGCTGGTGTCATGAGCAGCAGGTGATGTAGACCCTCTGAGGTATTATTACGCGAATAGACTTTACGAGAAATATACTACCGTATTAATTGGATTATAAGATATCATTTACGAATAAGATATTACTACGTTTGTAGATATGGTTCTATATAGTCCGAAAAACTAATATCTTATAACTTTAACTAACAAGAAGGCTAGAATCCTAAATCGATACTTTTATATTATTTTTCAGACACTTCATTCAACAACACAACATTGGCCAAATCACTTATAATTATAGTACTAGATGCCCAAGAGTGTGTTTTAAAGTTATACTATAAAAAAACCGTATATAGATTTTGTAAAAATTGAAGCTATTCCTAGATACCCCGTATATTACCCCGTATTTTTTAATAACTTATCTATCTATATCTATATTAATATAGTCCTCCTTATTAAAATTAGGAGAGAGCTTATTGTCTAAAGAATAGAGATATTAGAGAAGGATAGGAGAGGAGTGGGCGGAGTGGGTATTAGTAAGTAATACTAAAAAGTAGTGTAAAAATATTTTACAAGATATTTATTTATTTATTTATTTTATTTATTACTATTTAACGTCAGGCGGAATCTAACTCGCGTGGGCTAGGTCCTAAAAGTCCCATTGTTGGGCAAATGACGCTAGGGGGGTGCCCTAGGCTACAGGGGGTGTAAATGAAAGTGCGCTAATTTACAAGA